TGGGTTGCCATTTCCTTCTCCAGGGGAGTTTTGTGACCCAGGGATCGAACTCGTATCTCTTGTGTCTCTTGCACTGGCAGGCAGATCTTTGACACTGAGCCACCAGAGAAGCCCCAGGTTCGTCATATATGGCTGTTATTATGTTAAGGTTTGCTCCCTCTCTCTCCTATACTAACTCTTAGTATGAGAGTTTTTATCATAAATGGATATTGAATTTTGTCAAAAACTCTTTCTGTATCTATTGAGATGATCATATGGTTTTTATGCTTCAATTTGTTAATGTGGTGTATCACACTGATTGATTGCAGGTATTGAAATATCCTTGCATCCCTGGAATAAAGCCATCTTGGTTTCATCACCAAAATATATCATGCCACTCCCTGTGGTCTGCAAAGTTCCTGCTGAAAAGTTAGCTGACACTATTATGGGAGTTCTCTTGTATGTAACTAGTTGCTTTTTCCTTGCTGCTTTAAATATTCTCTCTTTATCTTTAATTTTTACTGTTTTGTTTATAATGTATCTTAGTGTGGACCTCTCTGACTTGATCTTGTTTGGGATGTTTTTGTTTACTGGATCTGGATTTGTGTTTCTTTTCTAAGGTTATAGAAGGTTTCAGCTATTATTATTATTCTTTATTTTTTTACAGTAGGCCCTTGTTGATTATCTATTTTAAATAGAGTAGTGTGCACTTATCAGTCTCAAACTCCCTAACTATTCCTCCTCTTTCACCGTTCTCCCTTGGTAACTATAAGTTTGTTCTCTAAGTCTGTAGTCTCTTTCTGTTTTGTAAATAAGTTCATTTGTATCTTGCTTTTTTTTTTTAGATTGAGTATGTAAGCGATATCATATGATATTTGTCTGACTTACTTCACTTAGTATGGTACTCTCCAGGTCCATCCATGTTACTGCAAATGCATTATTTCATTCTTTTTATGGTTGAGTAATGAAAGTGAAAAGGAACTAAAGAGCCCCTTGATGAAAGTGAAAGAGGAGAGTGAAACAGTTGGCTTAAAGCTCAACATTCAGAAAACTAAGATCATGGCATCTGGTCCCATCACTTCATTGGAAATAGATGGGGAAACGGTGGAAACAGTGGCTGACTTTATTTTGGGGGTTTCCAAAATCACTGCAGATGGTGATTGCAGTCATGAAATTAAAAGACGCTTACTCCTTGGAAGGAAAGTTATGACCAACCTAGATAGCATATTAAAAAGCAGAGACATTACTTTGCCAACAAAGGTCCATCTAGTCAAGGCTATGGTTTTTCCAGTGGTCATGTATGGATGTGAGAGCTGGACTATAAAGAAAGCTGAGTGCCGAAGAATTGATGCTTTTGAACTGTGGTGTTGGAGAAGACTCTTGAAAGTCCCTTGGACTGCAAGGAGATCCAACCAGTCCATCCTAAAGGAGATCAGTCCTTGGTGTTCATTGGAAGGACTGATGCTAAAGCTGAAACTCCAGTACTTTGGCCACCTCATGCAAAGAGTTGACTCATTGGAAAAGACCTTGATGCTGGGAGCAACTGGGGCAGGAGGAGAAGGGGACGACAGAGGATGAGATGGCTGGATGGCATCACCAACTCGATGGACATGAGTCTGAGTAAACTCCAGGAGTTGGGGATGGACAGGGAGGCCTGGCATGCTGCGATTCATGGGGTTGCGAAGAGTCAGATATGACTGAGCAACTGAACTGAACTGAATCTTCCATTGTATATACATATCATATCTTCTTTATCCTTTCATTTGTTTTTTTTAATTGAGGAATTTGGGCATTTATATTTATATTTTTATATTTTTTTATATTTTATATTTATATTTATATTTTTTTCACTTATGGTTGCTTCCATATCTTGACTTTTGTAAATAGTGTTGTGGTGAACATTGTGGTGCATGTATACTTTTGAACCACATTTTTCTCTGCCCAGGGTTGCTGAATCATATAATAGGTCTTCTGCCCATTTTTTGATGTTTTTATTTTATTTTATTTTTTATTTTTTTGCATTTTGAGCTACATGAGCTGTTTGTAAATTTTAACTATTATTTTTTCAAATAACTTTTTCTTCCCTTTTTCTCTCTCTTCTCATTCTGGCACTTTTTAATGTGAGTGCTGGGCTTCTCTGGTAGCTCAGAGGTAAAGAATCTGCCTGCAATGCAGGAGACATAAGAGATGTGGGTTTGATCCCTGGGTCAGGAAGATCCCCTAGAGGATGGCATGGCAACCCCTTCCAGCATTCTTGCTTGGAGAATCCCATGGACAGAGGAGCCTGGGGGTCTACAGTCCATAATGTTGCAAAGAGTCAGACACGGCTAAAGTGACTGAGCCCTATGTGAATGTTAGATGCTTGATGTTGTCCCAAGGATCTCTTAAACTATCCTTCATTTTTTAAATTTTTTCTTTCTGTTCAGCTTGGGTGATTTCCACTATGCTGTCTTCCAGTTAGCTGATCCCTTCCTGTGTATCATCTAATTGCCAACTGTTATTTTTCTCTAGTGTACTTTTTATATCAGTAGTTGTATTCTTCACCTCTCTTTGCTTCTTCATATTTTCTAGCTCATTGTTAAAATTCTTATTGTTTCATCCATTCTTAAGTTCCTTGAGTGTCTTTATGATCATTACCTGAACTCTTCACTGGGTAAATTTCTCTCTTCACTTCACTTAGCTTTTCTTGTTTAGTTTTATCTTGTTTTTTTATCTTGAAACTATTCCTCTGTCACCTCATTTTTCCAGTTCTTTGTTTTTGTTACTCCGTATTAGGTAGGTTGGCTATATTTTCTGATCTTGGAGAAGCAGCCATAAGTAGTAGACATCCTATGCATCCCAGCATAACACTCCTCTCTGACCACCAGAGTGCTAGGGGTACCCTCTATATGGACTGCATGAACCCTTCTGTTGCGTTAGAGCTAACTACTGTGGGTACATTGCTTGGTGTGGTTGGCCCTCAGATCAGTTGCTTGCCAGGCCCTGCCTAGTGCATAGACTGCTGGCCACTGGTAGGGGGGCCAAGTCTCAGCATGGCTGGTTATGGGGTCCAGGTCATCCCAGGGCTGCTGCCCACCTGCTGGTTGGTGAGACCAGGTCCTAACGCAGCTGACTGACGTGCACCAGGAGGTCATGGAGCTAGTGCTATGCACTGGTGGAAATAGACTTTGCTTTTAAAAGGTGAATGCAAAATCTCACGTGTTCTACTGGTGGGCTAGGACTAGCTCTAGGACCCCCTAATGCTGAGTCAAGTCCTGTGGTAGCTAGCTACAAGCCAGGAGGTTCTGGAGCTAGTCTGGACTTGCCGATGAAGGGCCAGGTCCTAGTCATCCCAATGCTGGTGTCAGTAGGCAGGGTCAAGTCCTGGGAATACTGGGGACTAACAGGGGTCTACCTATGGCTGCTACTGGTCTGCTAGTGGGTCAAGCTGTGTCCCTGCCTTGCTGGTTGCTTGACCTGGGTCACCACAGGAATGGTGCCAGCAGGCCTTTGGGTGAGGCCGGGTTAGTGGGAGGATTTCAAAATGGTGCTTTCCAGCATCTTCCTGGCAGACTGAGGTCCCCAAAATGGCCGTTGTCAACATCTGCATCCCCAGAGTGAGCGTTAGCTGCCTCCTTCCTCACCAGGCAACTTTTTAAGACTAGCAAAGGGTCTGACCCAGCTCCTTTCATATGACAACCTCTGCTCTGCATCTTGGAATGTGTGAGATTTTGCGTGTGTCCTCTTAAGAGCAGAGTCTCTGTTTTCTGCGTCCCTCTGGGTTTCCAAATGCAAATCTCTCTCGCCTTCAAAACTAGAAGGGTTCTCTTCAAAGCATGGGGCCCTCTTCCCCATGCAGTACCCCCAGTGTGGGGAGCCCAGTATGGAACTTGGGCCCCTCACCTTGGCAGAATCCCAGCAGTTAGGATTATCATACTCTTTGTTGGTCACCATACAAACAAGTATGGGTCTCAACTCTACTGTGTCTCTACCTTTCTTCCCATCCCTGTGGGGTTCCTTCTTTTTTTTTTTTGCTGCCCTTCATGGTATGTGAGATCTTAGTTCCCTGACCAAGGGTCAAACCCATGCCCCCTGCAGTGGAAGCACAGAGTTTTAACCACTGGACCACCAGGAAATCCCCTTAGGGTTCCTTCTTTATTTCTTTAGTTGTAGAAGATTGTTTCTGCTAGTATTCAGGTCACTTTCATTGATGGTTTCTCTGTAAATAATTGTGATTTTGGTATGTCCATGGGAGGAGGTGAGTTCAGAGCCTTCCCACTCCAACATGTTGGCCACCTTCAAGAGATTTAGGAGGTTGTTGAAGAGGTCTGTAGGAGATTCTTCTATCTGTTCAGTGTTGTTTTTCTTTTCAAGTCATAAAAGATAGTTTCATGAACCAAACTATTTGAACTATTATACACTGAAAGGGTGCTACTGATGAAGAAAAATGACTTTACCTCTAGGGGATCCTGAGTATGTAGCAACAATACAACTTAAATATGCCCTTAAGCTTGTGTTTCAAATAGCAGAAGAGCTTGTGCTCAGAAGATACTGATAGTTCTCAGTCTTCACGTGTGCTCACACGTAATTGTCACAAGCCCCAGTTGAAATGAATAGAATTTTGTTCCACAAATCTTCATTATACCAGTCTACCCACACAGGCAAATTTCTCTAAAATATCATACAAATTGTAGCCAGATCTTGGAAGAAGTTAGATTTTTCAAACTCTGAAGACAAAATTTGCTTGTTTTTTTGTTTGATTTTATTTAGGTCAGTAGTCAAAAAATGTTGGCAAAATAAATGAAGAAAATGAATTAACGTGGGGTGTGGACATAAATTCATAATGTCCTAAGTTTTTAATCTAGATAAAGGAATCGTACCATACTTTTGAAAAACTTAATAAATATCATGTATTGATCATAATTTGCTCACAGATTCACAGCTTCTTAATTGTTTCATTTTGATTTCTTTTATTTCAGAAGCTCTTGAAAAGAACATCAAGTCAAAAGTGAATCAGCTTGTTCTTGGGCAGCACCAGAGCCATGAGCAGTAATGGAACAGACCTCACCACTGGTTTCATCGCTTCTATTGTAGCCATTGTTTTATTCGGCTCAAACTTTGTACCACTTAAAAAATATGAGACTGGCGATGGTAATTATGTTTTCTTCATTGTTAACCTTAAATTAATTTTAAATGTGAAGTTCACTGTTTTGGTCTTCTTTAAATGATGACTGTAAAAATGAATTTTTCTGTGCCAGATGCCAAATGAATAGAGCTTAAAATAAGCAGTTGATAATGCCCATGCCAGGTTATCTAAGTGCTAGTCAGTATAGGATAACCTTAATATTCTGTTTCATGGTAAAGCTAAGATGAAGGAAGCTTTTTAGCCATATCTGCTATGTTTATGGGTTTCCCTAGTGGCTCAGTGGTAAAGAATCTGCCTGCCAAGTCAGGAGACATGGGTTCAACCCCTGGTCTGAGAAAATCCACTGGAGAAGGAAATAGCAACCCACTGCAGTATTCTTGCCTGGAGAATCCTGTGGACAGAGGAGCTGAACAAGTTCAGCAACAAAAGCTGTGTTTATGATAGAAGTCAGTTCTGTAATAATACTTGCTTTTTAAAACACAAATTTCCAACACAAATGATACAAAAGGAAGCAATTTGCTCATAACACAAATTTTGTGCTTGCTCATACACAATTTTGACTTTGACAAACCTACATGAACACAGAAAACTGTACCCAGATGGATAAAGGTGCATAGCAATGCACAAAATGTGCTCACACCCTCTGCCTCAAACCACCACACCCATCCACATCTGGTGTTCAAACCCTCCCAACCTTTGCAATAATTCATGGGTTGCAACACTTTTGACACTCATTTGCTTAAGTAAACTTCATGTCTTTTACAAGGTAAAGTGCCATATTTATTACAGAATTTGTGAATTTCTTAACCACTTAACCAGTATAAAGCTGTACTACCATTTTTTATTAGGTTTGCTTTTTAAAAAAATAATTTTATCTGTTTATTTTTGACAGTACTGGGTCCTTGCTGCTGGGTGGGTTTTTCTATAGGTGCAGCCGGCGGGAGCTACTCCTTGCTGCAGTTCGAGTGCTTCTCATTGCGTGTTCTCTTTCTGCGGAGTGCAGGCTCCAGGGTGTGCAGGCTTCAGTCGTTGCAGCTCTTGGGATCTAAAGCACAGTCTCAATAGTTGTGGAACGTGGGCTAAATTGCTTCCAAGCATGTGGAGTCTTCCTGGCCCAGGTATCAAACCTGTGTCTCTTGCATTGGCAGGCAGATTCTTTAGCACTGAACCACGAGGGAAGCTTTTTAATACCTTTTTTTTAATGACATTTTCAAGTGCTGTATCCTCAGCCCCATTTCCCCCATGAGCTCTGTGGGTTTTATCACACTTTTTTACCTAGTGCAGTGATTTTTGAAACGTACATGTCACATTATCACAGAATTGACTATAATGTGAGTTCAAGGGAAGAGAAGTAACAGTTGTTTTTATCCACTTGCTTTTCCTATTAAAGCCAGGAAAAGGAATTGGGGATGTTATGGTGAAAGTCTGGTGAGAAGCATTATGTTATCACCCCCAATTTCTTATGTCTTTATGCTACCTGGACAATAGAGTTGCAGATCCTTTCCTTCCATAGCCTTTCTTCTTTTTCCCATTGGAGTCAAAACAGGAATGACAAGTACTAGAAGAAGAACAAAAAAGATGCCAAAGGGTAGAGGACCTGGCTTTCGGGGTTTTACAAGAACCGTGTGATCCCGGGAAGCCTGATCAGCTCGTTTGTTCTGTTTCTCATTTGTAAAATGAAGGGCTTGTAAAACGAAGTTCCCTTTCATCTCTGTGTTCCTAATTTTAAAGGTTAACAGATGTTTTCCTCTCCTCCACCATGAGATTGAGTAGAAATAAGCAAAACTCTTCCGATAGAGTCTAAAGTGCTATAAATATGTTGAGTTTTAACAACCTTAGTATTTCTTCCAATGTTGATGTTTTCTGTGTCCTTTTAATCCCTGAACCTTCTTTCTGAGCCTCAGAAAGATACAGATACACCCTATATCACCACGTGACCTTCCAGGAACTGGCAGATGGCAGCCAAGAGCATAGGAAGGGGAGTAGCCCTGATGTAGAAAGGCTGATTGATTCTCAGGTCTGGAATGTCTGCCTCATCACAGACACTCGGCTCCAAGTGCATGGGTCCCACGTGTGGCCATAAAGGGCTTTATGTTTATCTCAGAGTAACTCATATGATCTCCAAAGGTTCAAATTACTACTGTGCTATTCTGAAATTCTTAATGCCATTCTCTTTGGTCAGGAATGGCACTAAGTGTGACATCTGAATAAAAATATATTGACTTGGTCTTGCCCTTACTCTTTGGCAGAAAATTCTTGATCCCTGTTAAGCAGGAATGCACAATATAGAGCAAGCTTTGGAGCCAAGTAAGTTTGAATTCTAGTTTTACAAACTGTTAGCTATTTGAACAAGTTGCTTCATCTCAGATTTGTTTTCTCTGTCTTTGAACTAGGGTTAATTATGATGCATAGTAGTTACAGGTGTTATAATAGAGGTGTAAAGCATCTAGAATATAAGCAGTCAATAAATTGTGACTGTTATTAGAACATCTCATTGATATTCCTAAGCACCAATTTTCTTATAGCAGGTTGAACCCCTGACACCGATTTTTTGATTTCTAGGGATGTTTCTCCAGTGGGTACTCTGTGCTGCTATATGGTTGGTTGCCTTGGTGGTAAATCTGATACTACATTGCCCTAAATTTTGGCCTTTTGCAATGGTTGGGGGCTGCATTTGGGCAACAGGTAATGTATGATATAACTTATCCTTTAGTCATTTGATACTATGATCGTAATAGCAGGAAATGGCGATAGATACTAGAAATTAATGATTTCGTTTCTTTCATTTATACACTCCATAAATATTTTTGGTTCATATTTTTGACTCAGATATTTTTCCTGACTCTTTCCTTTTAGTGGTTTCTTTCTTGTTCCTGCAAGAAAATCATTATAGGAAAATTATTATACTTATATCATTGTATAAAATTATTATAGGAAAATTGTTTCACTTGCTGTTTGTTCAAGCATAAGTGCTCTGCCCTTTCTCTAGCATGTTTATCAGAAAATACTTATTAAATAATCATCTCTACTAGTAGCATTTTTAGGACTTGTCCTTAGAAGTAGACAAACACACACACAGTATCATTTCAAAAGCGCTGGCAGAAAAAGAAAAACAAACAAAAATCTTCCTTCTGTTGCCTTATCACTATTGCCTGAAATTTTATAGCTAGAGCTTATGCCTTTGCTTGGCCTATCAGGAATATTTTTCTTCTATTAATATAAATATATACCCCAGGAGAGTTTTCTTTTCTTTAACAAAGAAAATCAAGGATTTCTAGAGTTAATTTGATTAAAAGCAAATAGATGTTTACATGTTAAAAATTTATTGGGCAACTACTTAATTTGAATCTCTGCAGAATTAAGTGATTTAGTGAAGATGATGAGTTGGAGGACAAAAGAGTTAAATTTGCACTCGAGTTGTAATTATTATACCTCATGTATGCTTTAGTACCATTGTGATCATCATTTTGAATAGGAGAGGGGAACAGAGAAAGCAATGATTCATCCTGCAGATCTTGACAACCACCACAGTATTTTATGTTCAAACAGCTGTTCACACTAGGAGTTGCTTGTTGTTCTTCAGTCGTTCAGCTGTGTCTGACTCTTTGCGACCCCATCTGCAGCACACCAAGCTTCCTTGTCCTTCACCATCTCCTGGAGTTTGCTCAAACTCACGTCCATTGAGTTGGTGATGTCATCCAACCATCTCGTCCTCCATTGTCCCCTTCTTCTCCTGCCTTCAATCTTGCCCAGCATCAGGGTCTTTTCTAATGAGTCAGCTCTTAGCATCAGGTGGCCAAAGTATTGGAGCTTCAGCATCAGTCCTTCCAGTGACTAATCAGGATTGATTTCCTTTAGGATGGACTGGTTTGATCTTGCAGTCCAGGGAACTGTCAAGGATCTTCTCCAATACCACAGTTCAAAAGCATCAGTCCTTCAGCACTCAGCCTTCTTATGGTCCAAGGAGTTCGTGGGAAGAGTTTAGTTTGAGAATTGCTGCAGACTGGGATGATGTAGGTCACGGTATTGTTCTTCGGTTGCTAAGTTGTATCTGACTCTTTGGGACCCCGTGAACTGCAGCCCTCCAGGCTCCTCTGCCCTCCACTATCTCCCAGAGTTTGCTCAGATTCATGTTCATTGATGCAGTGATGCTATCTAACCATCTCACAATGTAGAACACAGTAGCTAACTGGATGTGGGGAGTAGAGGAAGGGGAAGAGTTCATGGTGATGTAGGGATTTTATTGTAGGTGATTAGGAGAGTGACAGTGTCATTGACACAGATGAGGAGAAAAGGGAAAAGAACGTGGATGAAAGGGAAAATGATGACTTTGGCTTGGGACCTTTTTAGTTTAAAGTTCCTAATATTCCCACAATAAGGAACATCTGGTTGGTAATCTCTTATTGGCACTAAAGCTCTGGAAAAGGCCCAGGCTAGTGCTGGAAGCATGTGTCTCTAGCTGATAGCTGAAATCACGAAACTAAGTCAAGTGCCCAAAAAATATAGCAAGAGGAGTGTTTTTTAGGGATAATTTTTAGAAAGCACCTAAACCAGATGGTATGATGAGAAAGAACAGCCAAAGAAAGAGAGAAACAGGAGGGCATCTGATGATGAAGGCATCTTGGAAACCAAGAGAGAAACCCTTTCGAGAGGATATTGACTAAGTCAGACAGCAGGTCAGGAACTGGGGAAAAAAAAAATGACCATGAATTTGGTCCTGAGTGACCCTCAAGAGTACAAAGCACTGGGTAGGGCAATCCAAAAGGCAAGTAAATGAGCATGACAGAACAAAGTCTGGGGCCATATGGAGCCAAGGACATCTGCCAGTGGTTGGTCCTAGTTCCAGTCTAAGAGGGTGGTCACCATTAATTTTATCATTGACCAACTTCTGCAAAAAAGTCAAACAATGGAGACCTACACTAAGGATGAAGAACATCGGTGCAGTTAGGCAAAGAGCTAATTTAACATTTTCTTTGTAGGATTTTTCCCTAAGCCTGGCTCTTTTAGCAATCATATTCATGAGGTTAATGCCAACATTGGTTGTTTTATTTTTAAAATGAAGAATTAAGCTTTACTAAGTTTGTCCAAATCCCATAAGCTTCATCTGAAATTAAAGCTAATTTAATTTATAAATAGATTTTCTGTATTGAAAAATAACATCTTTCTTCTGTATATTTCATCTACAGGTAACATAGCTGTTGTCCCAATTATCAAAACCATTGGTTTGGGCCTTGGAATCTTAATCTGGGGATCATTTAATGCCTTAACTGGATGGGCAAGCTCAAGGTAACACAAAATAGGGTATTTTCTTTTTTTTTTTTCATTTATTTTTATTAGTTGGAGGCTAATTACTTTACAGTATTGTAGTGGTTTTTGCCATACATTGACATGAATCAGCCATGGATTTACATGTCTTCCCCATCCTGATCCCCCCTCCCACTCCCTCCCCATCCAAATCAGATTCTCTGCACTCACATTTTGTGTAAGGCAAATGCTGATTCTTGCCTTCACAAAGGTCACTTCTTGTAAGACATACACATAACATGTGCTACCTTGAATTATTTGCCTTAATAATTCTAAAGAAGTGATCTAACATGCCAATCAAGATAAATAATTTTCTTTAGAGAATGAAAGAGGGAGAGAGAGAAAGGGCATTGATATTTATTTTCCCTTTCTACGTGTGACAGTTTTGTTTCACCTGTTGTACATATCATCATTCTAACCTTATTTCCACAAATAAATGAGGTAGGTGCTGTCTTAGAAGATAACTGACCCACAAAAAGATGAGTGACTTGTTGAAGGTCGCAGAGCTAATGAACTGAGTTCAAATCCAGGTCTGATGATTCTAGAGTCTATATTCTTCCCTGTAGGGTCTGAGCCAGGATCAGCAAATCATTGCCCAGCTTCCACTTTGTAAATAAAATATTGTTGGTACACAGCCAAACACACCCATTTAGGAGCGTCTACAGCATGGCTGTTTTTACCCTATAAAGACAGGGGTAAGTAGCTGCCAGAGGCCGTCCAATCCACAAAGCCTAAAATATCTACCCTCTGGCCCTTTATGGGAAAGTTAGCCAACCCCTCAGCTCTAGAGTTGAGCTGTCAGATGGGGTTGCCACGAAACATGTGGCTGTGTATATTTAAATTAATTAAAATGTGATAAAATTAAGCATTCAGTTCCTCAGTGGTACTGGCCACATGCCAAGTGCTCCATCACTGTATCTGGTTAGAAGCTGCCCTGTGCAACCATGGGACAGCCATGGAACATTAGAGAAGTCCTGTTGGACTGCACCACCCTCTGTCAGCATTAAGAACATTCCAGTTGAGTTTGGGATGATAAATAGAAGGAGGATTTTATTCTAAGCTTACTTTTCCAGCTCCTCTTCCTACTCAAAGCACTACAGCAACCTCAGTTATAATGAAGCAAACTAACTCCCAAGACATTCTTTCCTGTCTTTTCTCCACCCCCACTCTGCCTTTTACAAGTGCTGTTTTCTTCTTGCCTGCATTTTTCTCACCCTTGGATGGTTCACAGTGATTATTGGTAATGGTCACTGCAAGAACAAGGCATTAAAAACAGAATTTAAAGTGATGCCAAAGAGTAGAGATCTTTAACCAAATAGTCACTGAAGTTTATTTCAAGTACTATACAAAATTGCAGTCAACTTATCAGCATTCAGTTAGCCACTTAACCTATTTTTTCTTCTTTATTTCTTAGTCTTAAAGTGAAAAGGAGGTTTCTTTTAGACAAGTACTTTTACATATACTGACTCATTTAATCTTCATAAGAAACCTGTATATGAGGTATAATTATAGGTATAATTATCCCCATTTTAAACATGAGAAATTGACACACAATAAAGGTAGTTAACTTATCCAAGTCACAGTTAGTAAATGATGGACCTAGGGTTTAAATCAGGGATCTGACCTTGAGTCCATGGCCTTAAACAGTGTGATAAACACATATTCAAGAATATCTGCTTTTTGACAATTTATTTATTTATTTTATTGGAATATAGTTGTTTCATAATGTCGTGTTAGTTTCTACTTTACCAAAAAGTGAATCAGTTACACATACACATATATCCACTTTTTTTTAGATCGTTTTCCCGTATAGATCATTATAAAGCATTGAGTAGAGTTCCCTGTGCTATATATACTAGGTTTTCATTAGTTACCTATGTTATACCTAGTAGCTATATATATATGTCGGTCCCGGTCTCCTAATTCATCTCACCCCGCTTCCACCTCTTAGTGTCTGTATGTTTGTTCTTTACACCTGTGTCTCTATTTCTGCTTTGCAGATGAGTTCATCTGTATTGTTTCTCTATATTCCACATATGCATTAATATGTGATATTTTATCATAGATTACCTTCTGACTTACCTCACTCCATATGACAAGTCTCTAGGTCCATCCATGTCTCTGCAAACAGCACAGCATCCACTTTGATGTGACTTTCTCCATTTCCAGGTTTGGCTGGTTTGGAATGGATGCGGAAGAAGTGGCAAAACCGCTGCTCAATTATATTGGAGCTGGGCTGTCTGTAGTAAGGTACGTGGCCATTTATGATGATTTAATTTCTCTTTTCAACATCGAGAACCATTTTTAAAGATCCGGATGTGTTTACATTGTTTTACATCCACATCTCATCAATCAGCATGATTTTTTCCTCAGACCCTTCATTTACATTGACAGCCATGTCTTCAGAGGATAGAAAGTGCCAGCTCTGGGGTCCGGAGCCCCAGCTTCACAGTTCAAAAGCTCTGAGACCCTGGGAAACTGTTCAGCTGTTGTCAAGCTCACTTTCCTTATCTGTAATATTCAGAAAGTCCTAAAACATGGCTTATAAATGAGGATCAAATGACAGTTAAAGTATTGAGTTGGCCAAAAAGTTCATTCGAATTTTTCTGTATGCGCTTATGGAAAAACCCGAATGAACTTTTAGGCCAACCCAGTATTTTGCAAACTAGAAAATCCAATATGAATCAGCATTGTGCTGGCTTTCTGTTGGTCTGAAATAGCTACTGGCTCTCTCTTCTTATTTCTTACAGACTCTTTGCACTCAGTTTCCACTTTCCTGTGGCCTCACTCCCATCTCCTAGCCTGCTCAGATAAGCACACTCACCTGTGACAACACACACTCATGTGACTACCTCTTTGGGGATGTCTAGTTATAGTCACTGTATGAACGAGGGTCAAAGTGACTCTGAATCTCTGCATGGCAGCGTTCAGTCCATAAAATCATCGCTGAATTAGGTTACCTTTGATTCACTCCCTTCTCCTCTCTGGACTCCATCTATATTTCCTGTCAGCACCTCACATAATGGATAACACTGCCTGCGAAGCTTTTAGTACTTTTTTATTCTTCAGGGAAAGAACGCTATATTTCTCTTCCTCCTCTGGTGATGACTTTTCCCCAGTCACATTCAGGAACAATCTCTTTGTCATTGAAATGTTGCCTTCAAGAAGTGGTTCCAGGCCAGTCAGAGAGGAAATAACATAGATTATTCTACAAGAGCAGATTCTTGACATTTTTGGTTAGAGGCAATTTTGTGCATTTTGTACAATTCACATAGCATTCGAGCTTTGAATAGCTCTCTCAAAAACCATTTCTTTACTCCCTAGAATTGGAATGTGGCATGCCTTTATCTTGACTTAATGGTAATTTAAGACCAATTTACCCAGTCCATCAGACATTGTTTTTTGGTTTTTTTCCCATATTCCTTCTTCCTTTAGAAAGTGTATATTCTTTGAAATGACAGATTATTCATGATTTACCACTTCCACCTGTGTGACCTTAATTTCTCTATATCTTGGTTTCTTTATCAGGGGATAAAGTGTGGATAATAATTGCACCAGCCTTATATGACATTTTGAGCATTAAATGAAATAAAATATGTTAGGCACATAGCTAATACTCTATATGTTAGGTAATTTTAATTACACTAGTCATTCTTTTGTTAGTAGCTGTTCTGTGCTCAGTCACTGTTTCCCCTTTGGACCTCTGGTGTCCATCCCTGCTGTCAGCTAGTCAGAGTGCCTGGGCAGTCTCCCAGTTTGGCCCGGAGCTTGATGTGAGGCAGGGATATGCAATGGTCTCTTGCCTGTGGTGCATCCTGGCTGTCTTTTGTTGACCTGAAGTAAAGACTACACGGCCAGATGGTCCCCAGCAAAAAAAATGGTTTATTCGGGATCAACAGAGAATTGCTATTCGGGGTCTGCAGCCATGACGAGCCAGCACCAATCTCCCATAGCAAGGGGAGGAGAACTCTACAGAGGGGAGAAGGAGAAGGAAGCTGGGAAGGCTACAGTAAACGGGTGCATGGATTTTCCCTGACTGAGTCCTGGCCCGGAAGGAAGAGGCGCCTTTTTCTTTCTCTTGACTCTACCATCCTCACAGGGTGTGAGAAATTTCCTTTCCTTTGTTTAATTAAAGGTTCTGTTTATTAAAATTTTTGGTGCTTTCCTAAGAGAAATTTATAAATTAGTTTATTCTGAGTGGAATTCACGGAAATACCTTGGAGTCTCATGGTCAGTATAAGGAAACTTGACATATGGTCATCTCAATTTAGGATGTTGCTTTTCTTTTTAAAATTGCAGTGATTGCCTCAGTCCTCCTGAACATCATGTTTAATGGGTTGCTTAGGTCATGTCTAGCATTCCGTTTTTCCTACATGATATCTATTGTAAGGATCAGTCACTTTCCACATTCAGGACCACTGCAGGCATCCTGAGCAGCAGAGGATTTAACACAGAGAATTGTTGATGAAAGTGTTACAAGGGCCAGAGGAACAAAGGGAGGAAAGTGGCCTCACCAGAAGCCCCAGAGCCCCTGTTCCTGCTGGCGCTGTGGGGACAGACTCCCCGCCCTGAGCTACCGCCGCCGCTGGAGCCCCCACCAAGGCAATATAGCGTCCCTACTTTTGCCTTATTTGTGTCTCCTGCTGGCAAAGCCAAAATGAAGCACGGTTTGGGAAAACATAGTTTTCAGTCTTCTGGGCTCCATGGTTCAGGATAGACGTGGAACTGATGCCAAGAAACAAAGTTCAAGACCTCTCTTAGACATGCTTTAGTGAAGATCCAGGAGTCAGAATTCATGAAAAGGCAAATTTCCTTTTCAGTTAAAATCAGGCTCTGGATTATCCTTGAATCTGTCTCCATTCTTTACTTTCTTAACTTGTTTTCCTTGGAGAATGGTGCTGTGAGGAAACCCAGGTCTTGGACTCTAGCCGTTACCTTTCTTCAGAGCCATGGTCCCTACATGGAACTGTGGACCAGGCTAGTCATCTTGAGGTAGATGCTCTCTGGGCACCTCCTATTCCATTTCAGGTGGGGTTACTTGTGGAAGGGGACCCTGCCAGGTCAGGAACAAGGCCAGGACTGTGCAAACCCTGGGCTGTTGGTTCCTTTCTCTTTGCCTTCAACATTTTCAGTCAGAATTACCTTTCTTAGGGCTTCACTGGTGGTCCAGTGGTTAACACTCTGTGCTTCCAGTGCAAGGTGCACAGGTTCGATCCCTGGTCAGGGAACTAAGAGTCCCACACAATGTATGTCCAAATAAATAAATTAATTTAAAAAGTACCATCTATTTGAAAAAAATACTTTTCTTACTTTAGCCTTCCCTAAAAAACTGATTTCTCTTCCTGCGTTTCTTCTCTGCATGGAAGATATTAGTCACAGTCTTTCAAATTCAGAAACTCAGGCTTCTTATTTTTTTTCCTTTATAACCCCCCATATCTAATTCTGTAAAATTCTTTTTGAATGTTTCACAAGTTCCTCCCCTCCTTTCCCTTGGCCCCTTTCTATCTACTCACCTGTATACAGTTGTAAAAATCTCACATCTCATTTCCCTAGTTCTATTCTTTCCTTTGTCAGAATGACTTGCATGTATCCGCTCTCAAATTGGGATATCACTTTTCTATTTAGCAAGCTCTGAAGGCTCCCCACTGGATTCAGAATAAATATGTCTCCTTAGTCTGGCATGTCCTCCGTAGTTACAGATCCAGTGCTTCTTCCTAGCACGGTTTCCCCTCTCTTGTCAACTCCGTGACCTGGGATTACTTATCACAGCATACCTGGCACTTCCCTCAGCCCCAAAAGCCCTTTCCTCTGCTTCGTTCGCCACCCTGAAATTTCAGGTAAGATTTCCCATCTGATGATGTTTTCTTCATTTTCTTCTTCCTAAATTCCTACTGTATTTTGCACTTCCTCTATTGATGTTATCCACACCCTCCAGGTCTGTTTTGTATTATTCACACAACTGTCTTTATGCTTAAACCGTGGGATCCTGAGGGACAAAGTCTGCTCTTTTGTGCACCATCTCCCCCACCATCACTATCAGACAGCGCGTGACTCAGAATAAATGCTTGTTGAAATCAGTTGTCAGTGTAAACACACACACATGTGAGTTTTCCAAATAGTAAGATGTGTAGGGTTGCAGATCTAGGGAAACTGGAAAGGTTGAAAATGTAAAGAAGCATCCTTGCCTATAGCTTATTTTCTTCTTCTTTTTTTTTTTTGCTTCCTATGCTTTTGACAAGATTTCTAGACTTTCTCATGGAACTTTGTGTTTGATAAACTGTACCAAGTTCTTTGCATCTATAGCCTAAAAGACCATGTGATCTATTTACCTTTATGTTCATATTAATATATTGACATATATGATGCATCTCATTACCTTGCCCTGACTTAGTGCTATATCCTCTCTTGACCTAACTTAGCTGGGACTCTTCTTTCTGACTTAGCCATTTTGTGTCTAGTCACACAGGCTCAGATGACTGACTCAGTCTTGACTTCTTTCATATGCTCAGCTCCCTTCTCTTCCATCCAGTTTATAGTTAAGGTTCTCAACTGAATAACATATTTTGAGCTTTTATCATGTGCCAAAAAGTACCTTGAGAATTTTGTGACCATTTTTTTGAATTGTTTTTAATTGTCAAAGATTATAATTGTACACTATTGAGAAGTATAGACCAAAACATAATTATTGGAGGGCAGTTGCTCATCATAGCTCCGTAAAGTGGGTCTCTCCCCATTTTTTAGATGAAAACAGTTGAAGGTCAGAGAGGTTAACTGATTTGTTGGAAAGTCATAGAGGTGTTTGAAGAAGCGTTCAAGGACTTTTCTCTGGATCCTTCAAGTATTTTTTTTTTTGTAATGTTAGCTCATATCTTTATTAACCAATGTACAATTACTTGTCTTCTGTTTTGTTGAAACAATAGATGAGACAACATTTACCATAATAATGTCTGTCGAAATGACTGGCCATAAAAACTCCAGCACCACATTCATCTGAGGGACACTCCCGGCGAAGGCGACTGATTTTGCCATTCTCATCCAGCTTATGTTATTTCAGAACAGCCATCTTAACCTTCTTTCTCTTATGCTTGTTCTTCTTGGGCGTGGTGTAAGACTTCTTCTTCCTTTTCTTAGCGCCAGCATGAAGTCTCAACACAAGATGAAGAGTGGACTCCTTTTGAATGTTGTAGTCAGACAAAGTACATCCATCTTCCAGTTGCTTGCCAGCAAAGATCAGTCTTTGCTAGTCAGGAGGAATTCCTTCCTTATCCTGGATCTTGGCCTTTACATTTTCTATGCTATCCGGGGGCTTGACCTCGAGAGTGATGGTCTTCCCCATCAGGGTCTTCACGAAAATCTGCACCTTGGCGGCGGTTCCTCCGCAGATGGCAGATCTGAAGCTCCATCAAGTATTTCTAACATGTCATTCTCTATTGTTATTAGAAAACAGACTTGTCTATACAAAGTAGAAAGTTTTCATGGTAATTCTGAGGAGAAAATGCAAAGGTAGTGTCTAATATTAGCTTTGTGAATGAACGTATAAATGAGCACACACACATGTTTACATATTTAACAATTAAGATAAACACATAGAATCAGATTTTATGCATTCAGTTAAACTGAGTACAATTCATTCAAGTACTTTGAGGACCCTGAAAGAGATAGAAAATGTGGTTCCTATTCAATTTTCTATTGAATTGGAACATCTTTAGAGAAAAAAGATTGCATGGAAAATGGTCTGGATTGTGTGATGATAGTTCTCAGTGTGGCAGGAATTCAGAAAAGAGGAGGATTTGGGGAGGACTGGCCTGGGGAGCACTCCCCTCTCACAGTCAGTAGTCACCTCTTCTGTAGTTTGGATAAGAGGCGAGAGTATGGTATGCTTAGCTAAGAAAGCCTGGCAAGCAAGACATGAAGCTTGGAGCAGGGACTGGTCAGAGAGAGAAGTCCACGGGGGAGTTATGTTCAGGAAGGTTGGGTGTGGCATGAAGTGAGGGCAGTGAAAGGAGGACTTCGCAGGCGGTTCATTGGTTAAGAATCTGCTTGTTCCAGTGCAAGGGACACGATTCCATCTCTGGTCTGGGAAGATCCTATATGCCACAGGGCAAATAAGCCTGTGTACCACAACTACTGAAGCCCACGTAGCTAGATCCTGCGCTCTGCAACAAGAGAAACCACTGTGATGAGAAACCCTTGCAGCACAACTAGTAAGAGTATCTCTCACTAGCCACAACTAGAAAAAGCCCACACACAACAAAGGCCCAGCACAGCCAAAGATAAATAAATAAATACATTCTTAAAAAATCAAAAGGAAACTTAGATCTCCTAAGGGATGGAGTATGGAGCCAGTTAAGTGTATAAAGCAAACAAGAGACTGAAGTAAGAAAGCCACTAGACATATTTAATTTTTATACAAATGATAGCATATCTGGGTGCTCTAGTCCGCACCCAGCTATCTATACTATTTCAGTCTCTCGTGTGCTTTGAAAACTTCTTATATTGCTTTCACTTTTGAGCCATGCAAATATTTTAAAAAAAGAAATATCAAAAGGATACTAGAGTTGTAACTTTGCTTCAGTTAATGAAATACTTCAGTACATTTTAACATTTCTGCATTGTTTAAAAGTCAAGGTCAGTGAGGTATTTATTACAAAGATGCTGGACATGGATAGTAAATTAGGAGAGAGGTTCAAGGGTAAAAAAAAAAAAATTCGGCTTACATGTGTGTTTTTATCTCTTAAAATATAGTCTGGAGGTCTTTCCATATCAGAACATAGAGGGTATCCTCATTCCTTTTTTATGGCTGTGTTGTATTCCATCACATGCCCATGAAGATCCACTCACCTGAGTGTGGCTGTACCTGTGTTATAGGGCCTGGAGCAGGATTGGTAAGGGCAGGAGTGGACACACCTGTGCTCTTGGTACGTGGCCCCAGAGTCTCCTCCGTGGGGGTCACACAGTCTGCACTCATATCAATGGTGCTTTTCTCTTCCAGGTTGTTCAGGCATGTTAAACTTTTGGGGTTTTGTCAATAGAACAGGTGAGAAATATATTTCAATGTAGTTTTCATTTGTATTTTTCTTACCATGCGATTCCATGACTAAGCAGGATTAAAAAGAAGGAAATTAAGGTTAAGGAGAGACATCAAAGAGAATGTCAGTGCTGGAGAAATGGCAGGATCCCTGCAAAGGCAGTTTGGAATTAATACCAGTAGGTCTTCATTTTAGCTCTGTTTTCCCTTAAAATTCAGGCATCTTAATGTGAACCAGGGTTATGATAAATGTCACTAAAATTTATTTTCTTTACAGTGCTTTCATATTTTTGTTCATCAAAAGTGAAATACCAAATAACACATATTCTGTGGACACCACACCACTGATATCAGAGCATGTGAGTACAGAATGAGAACCAACTTGATCTGAAACATGAAATTAGGATAAAAGGAACTTGCATGGATTTGAACTCAGATGAGAGACTGGTAGGGTATGTTGTTAAATCAAGGATATCTGAAATATCTTAGCATATTTATCATGGGTAGGTTTATGTAGCAGTCAGTCCATATTTCCACAGTAAAATTTCTCAACAAGCACAGAGGTCTAGTTATTTTTATTGATGGTAGATCCCTAGTAGGAGAGGTTCATACAAGCCTGTATTTTGGAATCATTTAAGGTCGTTGCAGCACAGGAATTCTAAATACTACAGAGGAGTGTGAAAAGTACTTAGAAAGAAGGAGGGAGGAGGTTTTCATAACCCCAGGGAGGGTAGCAGGGAACCGATCAGAGGAAGTTAATGAAAAGGTAAATCAGGTCGTATGAATGTAGGAATTAGACTTGGTTTTCTTCTCATTTTTCTGCCATATCTCTTCCACTCAAAGGTGAAGACGGTAACTAGGTAAGGAATCTCTATTTTGACCTTAAAGAAGCTAAGTGAGTCTGAACATAGCAAACTAGATTAAGCAGGGACAACCTTTACAAGACAGCCCACACCGCACCAGTGTCAGAGGCTCCATGTTACAGAAGCAGTTTCAGGGCAAACCCTCGTGGCCATGAGCACAGGCTCCCGTCCTCCTATGTCACGTGTATTGTCCACCTGCCAGGGTCCAGTGGTAGCAAGCTGGCCTCAATCCCGCATCCCACCCCCCCATTTGGGCAATGCCCCCTTGGAAGGCACAACCTCTACTCCTTCAGCTCAGTTTAGTTCAGTTCAGTTCAGTTCACTCAGTCGTGTCCGACTCTTTGCGACCCCATGAACTGCAGCACGCCAGGCCTCCCTGTCCATCACAAACTCCCGGAGTTTACTCAAACTCATGTCCATCAAGTCGGTGATGCCATCCAGCCATCTCATCCTCTGTCGTCCCCTTCTCCTCCTGCCCCAAATCCCTCCCAGCATCAGGGTCTTTTCCAGTGAGTCAACTCTGCATCAGGTGGCCAAAGTACTGGAGTTTCAGCTTCAGCACCAATCCTTCCAATGAACACTCAGAACTGATCTCCTTTCGGATGGACTGGTTGGATCTCCTTGCAGTCCAAGGGACTCTCAAGAGTCTTCTCCAACACCATAGTTCAAAAGCATCAATTCTTTGGCGCTCAGCTTTCTTTACAGTCCAACTCTCACACCCATACACGACCACTGGAAAAACCATAGCCTTGACTAGACAGACTTTTGTTGGCAAAGTAATGTGTCTGCTTTTTAATATGCTGTCTAGGTTGGTCATAACTTTCCTTCCAAGGAGTAAGCGTCTTTTAATTTCATGGCTGCAATCACCATCTGCAGTGATTTTGGAGCCCAGAAAAATAAAGTCAGCCACTGTTTCCACTGTTTCCCCATCTATTTCCCATGAAGTGATGGGACCGGATGCCATGATCCCTACTCCTTACTTCAAAATTTATCTTTCTTCCCCCTTTTATCTTTCCCATGTCAAAACTCTTCTCAGCTAAGCTGACAGAAACCTTAGTTAAATTGACACTAAGTATGTTGGTTACTCAGTTGTTCTGACTCTTTGTGATCACATGGACTGTAACCCACCAGGCTCTTATGTCCATGGGATTCTCCAGGCAAGAATACTGGAGTGGGTTGCCATTTCCTTCTCCAGGGGATCTTCCCAACCCAGGGATTGAACCTGTGTCTTCTGCATTACAGGCAGATACTTTACCATCTGAGTCACCAGGGTGGTCAAGTTAAATAATAAGTAGCTTAGGGGTAAGAGGAAAGAGATGTATTCATCCATGGGCATCTCTAATTAGAGAACTCTTTAGAGAGGATAGAGAAGTGAGATGGGGAGAAGGTGTCTGGTGTCCTTGCCTACTTTAGTGTTCCAGATACCTCCTAACCAACCTCCCTTTAAACAATGGAGGAGGGGAGGAAATAAATGCAACTTGGGGAAAGCAACATAGGAGTCTAATTGCCTTAGAGTTTTCCATCAAGTTGGCAGTAAGTAAGCCAACTAAGATTAAAGATGCATATACAGTGTTGATTACGATGCAGTCATACATCCGGAGGTCCTCGTGAGGGAAGAAAGCATCGTTGTCAAAAGAAAGCTTGACCTAGCACATAACAAAGAATTCAATTCTAATTTCTCATCTCTTACTATTAGGAGTATAGCATCAAGGAAACCTCAGCTAAGAGACAAAGATGATTACTTTGATAGAAATATTATGAACTTGGGCAAAATTTTTCCTAAGTTAGAATATGAGCTAATCTTGAAAAAGGCAGGGAATGTTTAAGCAACCAGTTTAGTTTTAAAAAATCTGGATAAAAATATGCCTATTGATCTTAAGTACTCCATAGTAGAAGAGTCTTAAGTTCTAATTTCTTGGCAGATTATTAAAGTTTGCAAATAAAATGCAAGCACTAATAACTTTTGTTAGTTTTGATAAGTGTATCAGAGTAACCATTTATTAAACTGTGAAAAACATTTTAAAAGAGACCAGACCATTCTGAATAAAAGAGAAACAGAATCGGAAACATATGAGTCTAATGATGCCCACAGAATCAGAATGCAGGGTGACATGGTTTTCTTTTATTTTAAAGTGTATTTGAGACAGAAGAGAAAAACACTGAAAATCTTGTCACCAGTGTGGCTATTAATTGAGTGCTGTTTTTCTTTTGTTTTTTTTGCCAATGTTTTCACTAGGTGATTAACAAAGCTCAAGATCCTGATCCTGACTGTTCCTGGGTGGATAAACTTTCCACAGCACAAAGCCGCTTAGTGTAAGAAGAGGTTCTGTTAACTCTGTTTCATATATGGTTACAGCAAGGATAAGCAGAATGGAGTTGTATCCATTTGAGCTCAAGATGAAAATGGGAACACAAGCTTTGACTTCTTAACTTCATGGTAGAGAGACTTTCTGGTCCCTTGCTGAATTTTACAGCACAGTGGGCCTTGGTCTTCAAGGAATTCCTAAGCCCCTGCAGTGCTTCTAGTTAATAAGTCTCTCACAGAAGCAATCTCATTTTGCAGGACTTTCATGCCTAAAGTAAAAGGAAAGATTAAAAAAAAAACAACAACAACAAAGGAAAAGTACAGGCCACAGAATGTAACAACCAATACACTCCCAGCAATCACTGTTGAATTAGGCAAGCCACATCTCTAGCCAGGATGACCACTGTGCCCTGGGAATCCCTCCACTCGGTATCAGAGAGTTTTATAATCCCGAGGTATTTATTGTCAAATATGGTAGAATATTTTGTGTCTGTGTAGGTCCTTGTCCACACCCCTGTGCTCTCTCTGTAAAGACTGAAACACTTAGGCTCAACAATAGCTCCTATATTTAGGGGTTTGGGGGACTAGCAAAGAAATATGAGAATGATATGTTTTATGTATGAACCTTTATATGTTTATATAAGAAATATGAATACATGATAGTATGTAGCTTGCGTTTTTCAATTGAGGGCTCTTAGAATTCATGTGGTGACAGTTTAAGAACAGAAAGCATGTCCTCTTGTTAGTATATACACTGTCTTCACAGTGGAAAGAGGCAGTGCTCGGCACATAATAGATGCCCCCAAAAATATTGGAATCAATTAAATGAATGAAAGAATGAACTAACCTATGGGCTTTGGAAGAAAGAAATATGTTATTTTTGCTTTAAAATAAAATAGATCTCTCCAACAAAATGTTTTTCACAAAGCATCACCTTCATTAAGAGAATATTTGTTAAGCACTCTTCTAGTTGTCTCATTGGACAGCCTAGTCCATTAGTCTTGTCTGTGTTTGGGACCCTCCTCCAGGATTCGTGGTCTTCACCACGATGTAGAGGTTTCCATCAAGAACAGAGCTCATTGGTCATGTGAGTACCTACAGTCTCATATTCCTCAAAGCACCACTAAAATAGACTTTAAGCATTTATTTTTAAGCTTAGAAAGGAATGGTTTTTGCCTAAAACTCTTTCCTGTTTCATGCCATTCTCCTTTATGTTAAGCTCAAGGGACTGTTCTAAAATATTAATCATCTCCCACCAAAGTCAGTGAAGACTATTGCTTCATGCAGATATAGCCCAAGTATGAAGGCCCAACATGACTCTACTGCTTAAGGCAAAACATTTTCTTTTTACAAAAGTAATGTTTTATCTGAAATATTCAAATTATTTTATTAAGGAATTTCCTGGCAGTCCTTTGGTTAAGACTTGGTGCTTTCGCTGCTGTGGACCCAGGTTCAATCCCTGGTCTGGGGAACTAAGATCCTACAAGTCACCCAGGATGGTCCAGCTCTTTGGGACCCCATGGACTGCAGCCCTCCAGGCTCCTCTGTCCATGGGATTTCCCTGGCAAGAATACTGGGGTGGGTTGCCATTTCCTACTACAGGAGATCTTCCTGATTCAGGGATCGAACCCGAGTCTCCTGCATTGCAGGCGGATTCTTTACCACCAAGCCACCAGTGAAGCCCTAATTTAGTTAGAGAGCCATGTTTTTTCATGTCACTTGTAGACTATGATGGCAATGTTCTCACCCATGTAATGACAATTTATAATAATAATCCTTTACAGTGTCTGTAAATCATGTCCTTCCACCATTAGATAGTGAAGGGCTGAGGCTGTGTCCCAACAAGGTACCTGGATGCTGCAGGCCATTTCTGGGACTTTTTCTCATCACCCCAATTGAGATAAAAGGGTAATTGCTACATGATGCCTTGTGATTTACATTTTGAAGCATGCTTTAGGTATGATTCCATTTGTGTGTTTGGCAGAAATATTGCTTTGGGCCAAGATGAATAGGAATGTATTTGTTTTTTAAGGGGCTGCAGTCTCGCAGTGATATCTGGAATTCTCTATGGATCTACATTTGTGCCCATCATTTACATCAAGGACCACAGCAAGAGAAATGATAGTATATATGCAGGGGCAAGCCAGAATGGTGAGAGGAAAAAGTCATTTTACTTCATAAGTAAACTCAATACCTGTGTTTCTACTTAAGACTATAAAAAGAAATGGACTGTGGTAGATATTGGTACATAGATTGGTTGATGGGAATATAATGAAAAATCAAGTCAAGAATAAAAAAAGGAAATTTTATCTGAACCAAACTGAGCATTGTAACCCGGGGGACCAACTCTCTGAAGCTCTGAGAACAGTTCCACCTGTTAAAAGTTGAAGGCACTTTTGAGACAAAGGATGTACATCAAAATGACATACTGACATTTCACATAAAGTTCACCAAGGATACATAGTCTAGGGAAGCATAGTACAAAGTGAACAGCCAGTCACCACGACCCCCTGCAGAGCTGGAAAAGAATGTTATTCTTTTGAGAAGTTATTAATACATCACTAGCATGAGAAGAAAGAAAGAAATTGATCTTTATGGTCAAGCAAGCACCCTCATCTTTGAGAAGCTCCGATTAAAGTAAAAGGCAGGTGCACTCCTTGTGTTAGGGAGAAAGCCCAGACAGACACAGAGAGAATTTTATGCTTAAGCTTTCTCATCTCGTCTTAAAGTATAAATTTCCTTTCATCAGATTTGATCTTACTTTGTCATTGTAAGTGGTGAATTAGAAGGGCCCTGGAAACTAAAAGAAAGGACTATTTCAATATTTTCGTATGATCTTCAGCATACGAATGGAATTGATTTTAGTCAAGGTTCATTTCAGCTACTTGTGGTTTCTGGCTTTGCTGCAAGATTTGGAGATTATTTTCCAGTTTGATGATCTCTGGGAAAATGTGTGTTCTTCTCCTCTTTAAAAAAGAAACTGAAGTGTAGCATACACTTTGTAGCATACAGTGTAGCATACAGTGCTTTGAAATCAAGTAAAGGTCAAAATATAGCCTGCTTAGGATATTATTTTTCAAGCACAAAATAGTACATTGAAAGACCCAACATAATGCTTGCAAATTGTCTCAGTTTCTAGTGATAGAATTCATCTCTCAGATGTCACCTCCGCACTGTGTACAACAGCCTTCTACAGGCTCAGAAGGAGAGGAGAGGGTCTAGTTCAGGATCCTGTGATTATATTGAAATGTGGCTCACATCTATGATGATAAAAGAAGGAGATCATGGTTAAGTTAGTTCTACCTCAGTGGCACAGAAAATGAATGTCATCTGTGTTCAGATAAGGGAGAAGTTTGGAGGGCAAGTCACGAGGGGAAGATGGATCGAAAAACTGGGATCAGGACTCTCAATGAATGGATTGACTTTGAAATAATACCATGGTTTGTTTTTTCCCTTTTATGTTTGGCCCCACAAACAGTTCCCAAAGTACTTTTATTACCTTCTGTGCTTTTTAAGATTTTATGCAAATATTTTTTGTACTTTTATTCTTTTTGTTTTAAAGGATAAAATCTAATAAAAATAAAATAACTTAGGAAAAATTAAGAGGGAATGGAAAATGAATGAACAAGTAAAATGTAACCGTGAACGAGTCTTAAAAACTGCACCACGCTTGTACACTTGCTAGCAATGAGTCATAAATTTGGCTCTAAGATTCTTATAGCCACAAAGGAAATCAGATCAGTCCCGGAATTCAGCAAACACAAGATGAAAACAACTGATTGTTTAGAAGCACAGTTGTTCTTGGTCCTGGAACATAATGAACAATGTCCTTGGTAATCTCTTCACATTAATAGTACAATCAGGTCTAAGGGATCTTTTTATGACAACTCAAATGTAGTCTGATAGAAACACACTTTATTTCGATTCACTCAAAACTAATTCAGGGGGGCATAGTTTTTATTTCATTTATTTTATGATTACATAAATAGTATATGCTGTATCCTGGGCACTCTTCTAATTACAGTAATAACTTGATTGACCCTCAGCAGCTTTACTGTTTGGGTACCATTATTATCCTGGTTTTACAATAAGATGAGACAGACGTATAAGTTAGTTTACCGAAGTCTCCAAGTTAGCAAATAGTGGATTCAGGAGTCTCACCAGGTGGCCTGTGTTTCTGATTGCTAGATTAAGCTGCCTTTTGTGACGGTCTTGAGACAGATGTGTTGTGATATGACTCAGAAGTAGGATGTAAGACTTTAGAAGAATAGACAAGCCCTTTGACTTTCAAGCTCTCCTCTCTAAGCATGGCTGCTCATCCTCTCGGTTTAGTTGAGAGAAACACTGGGCCCAAAGTGACCTTCCTGGCCAAGAACCTGCTACACCCATCTCTATGGAAAAGGACAATCTGATTTAGTCAGTGGAGTTGGGTTTCTCAGAATTTGGGCCACCATCTGTGTATTAACTTCTCCACGTAATTAGTTTTATAATAAATAATTAAATCCTCTGGAATAACTTCCTGAATATCCTTCTGTATAGCTGCAACCTGGACACTGGTTTCCAGATTGATCAATACAACCTATAAAATCAGCACTGCCAAATTTTTTAACATACTACCTCCCCAAATACCATCTACTTGGAGATTTGCTACAGTTTCTATAGCCATCAGTAATATTAAGTCTGAGTACCTGTTCTTAAAAAATGAGATATTAATGTTATATTCACATAATGTTTGTCATTTCTTATTTAGCTTTCCAAGACAATATAAAAGCCAACCTTTTAGATTTGATTATAGTAACTAACTTCTTAATATTTTAAATATGTTAATTAAAATTCTATATAAATAGCGTGTAGAAAAATAGTATGAATTTAAAGCTTATTATATTATACATTATAAATGTAATTTATACTTTATAAATATAAACATTATAAAATAATGTTTTATATAAGACACTATAAAATATATGAATGCTTCCCCTTTACAGTTAAGGTTAACTTTGGTGAGCTTGTTTTATTCTTAGAACTCTAAATATATTTCAAATGACTAAAATGATATGCTTGAGATTTTTATAATCTGTACTTCCAGATTTAGACTATGTTTTTGCACACTTCAGTGGCATCTTCCTCACAAGTACAGTCTACTTTCTGGCCTACTGTGTAGCCATGAAAAATAATCCTAAACTACATCCTGAAGCAGTCTTGCCAGGTAAGAATCTTTACTACAGAAAATCTTCCTACTCTTTGAAAGCACCATTCCCTATTAATTTAGCTTGAATACTCGTCTTCTGGAAATGAAGCTATTCTGTGTGTGTGTGTATGTCTGTGTGTGTCTGTGTATGTGTGTTCCTTCACTCAATTGCTCTGGCTCAGTTCACCACCAAATATGGAGGATTTAAAAACTATAAAACTGGATTTGAAATGCCAAGTTACTAATACTAAACCTAGAACAGGACCAGTGAATCTGAGATTGTTTCCTCTGCTGATATACCTTGTGTGATGAGCATGAGACTTTATAGAATATCTTCTTCACTAAGGGTACACGTTAAAAGTCAGAGTGTTGGGGCTCTTTTATTCTTAAAGATATCCGCAAATACAAATTTGCAGTCACTTGGGAAAATAAGCATTTTCTCCAAAACTTTAGGAGAAATTATTTTAGAGTTTAAAAAAGGTATGTCAAATGAACATGCTGTTGGGTTTAATTAGTTAGACATTGTTGGTTATATATATATATATACATATATATATACACATACACATATATATATGATGGAGAATTATAATTTCTCACATATTTAGGTGTTTAATTCAATGTGGAATATAGATCCACAAGGAAAATTTTTTAAAGAACAAAATAAAGCACATGCCAGAGATTCACTTTGAATGCCTGATTCATTTAAGCCAAAGTGTGCCACTACACCATTATACCATTTTATAGTACAGAATGTTTACTGTAATTCATACATTATAGTAATGGTATAACATGTACTAGTAGATGTAAAAATGGTAGAATGCTTAATGAATGTCTAGTTAAAATATCCTGAAAATTTTAGCTAGTATCCTTATTCAAATTCCAGATTCTTTTTCCCCTTAGCTAAGCATCATTCTGAATTTCACATATTTTTATATTGTCCCTAGGGAAAACAAGCATTTTTTTTTTTTTCCAAAAAGTTAGGAGAAATTATTTCAGAGTATAAAAAAGTTATGTCAAATATACATGCTTTTGAATTTAATCTATTAGGCATTGATGGTAATGTATGTGTATATATATCAAACACGGATCTCCTGCATTTCAGGCAGATTCTTTATCATCTAAGCCACCAGGGAAGCCCATATATGCTCATACCTGTATGTATATACAGACATACATATAATGAGAAATTATATAAAAAAAGAATTATAAATAATATATAAATTATGAAAAGAAAATTATATTTAATTATATATATATATCGAACCCAGGTCTCTTGCATTGCAGGCAGATTCTTTACCATCTGAGCCACCAGGGAAGCCCATATAAGCCCATATATATGTGTGTGTATATATACATATACACACACCCACACATATACAATGATAAATTATATATAAGAATTATAAATATATAAATTATAAAAATAAAGTTATATATAATTCGATTTAAATATGTATTGTGTATTAAAAGATTAAAATTAATATATTTTAATTTAATTATAATTATAAAAATGAATTATATATAATAAGAAATTATAATTTCTCACTTAAGAGTTTACTCTACTTCAATATGAATTAGATCCACAAGTAAAACGTTTTTAAAGAACAAAACAAATCATGTATCAGAGATTCACTTTTGAGTGCTTGATTCATTTAAGCCAAGGAGTGCCGCTACTCCACTATACAGTTTTAGAAAAATGGTCGAATATTTACTGAATGTCTAGCTAAAGTATCCTGAACATTTTAAGCTGGTATTTTTATTCAGATTCCAAGTTTTTGTTCCCCCCTTATTTAAGCATCATTCTGAATTTCACATACTTTTATGTGCATGGCTTAGAGTACATGGTGTTTTCAGAAAATGTTCAGACCCAGTACCTTCCCTGGGTCCCGCTCCACTACCCAATCTTTACTGCACCTATCACTTTGGGTACTTGATTTAATGTCAATAAGGTAAAAGGTGATCCTTATATCCAGTGCAGTCACAAAAAGAGAAATGATTTGGTTTCCAAAATGGTCATAGACATGACTCAAAAACCCATGTTGGCTGGCGGTGTTGATAGGAGTGTGTGATATTTTCACTTTAGTGGTCCCTCTCCACCTGGAGTGTGGACTTTTCTGGAGAGGTATGTGGTTGGCAAACGTGTGCTGTCTGTGTGTTTCAGGGTTCCTGTCCGGAGTCCTCTGGGCGATCGCCACCTGCTGTTGGTTCATAGCGAACCACTCTCTCAGTGCTGTGGTCAGTTTTCCAATCATCACGGCCGTAAGTAGCTGTCTTGCATTTCCAAATTCTTGCTTTCCAAATGTAAATCACACTTTTCTGAAGCTTTCTTAGTGAATCACTGAAGTCTGTCATGGAGTTTGATTTTTCAGGAGTACAGTCAGTGTAACAGATTCATGTGGATAAACTGACTCCTCTAATCACGTCCTTGATTGCTAAGGGAATGTTTCTAACTTCATTTTAACAAGTTTGTTTGTCTTTGACACCTTTGCAGTTTTTGTTTGGTCATTTTGCCTAATTTCATTTGGGATACGTTGTAATTTGCTGTTAATAGCAATGTGTGTGCTCAGTTGCTCAGTTGTGTCAGACTCTGCAACCCCATGGACTATAGCCCACCAGGCTCCTCTGTCCATGGGATTTTCCCAGCAAGAATACTGGAGTGGTTTGCATTAACTCCTCCGAGAGATCTTCTCAACCCAGGGACCAAACGCGCCTCTCCTGTGTCTCATGCATTGGCAGGCAGATTCTTTACCATTGAGTCATCTGGGAATCTGATAACAATATTTATCTCTATGTAATAGTTTATAGATATAAAAATTGTGTATATTGTCACACTTGAATCTCATGGCATCCTTGTGAGATAGAGAGTACTTAGCCCCTCTTCATAGGGTATGTCCGTGTTTTAAAGGTTTTCAGAAAATACTGAAGCAAAGTATTGTCTCTTGATGGTGCCATTTATCATGCATTCATAATGTCATTTGCTTTGTGTGATATTTTTGAGTGCCAGACATGTAGCACATAGTCAGGTAACAGAAAAACAAAAATGTTTCTTTTGATATAGACAGGACAAGTATTGATAGGATTGTCCCCGATTTGAAGATGAAAAAATGGAGACAGTAGCTAAGAGCCGGAGAAGGCAATGGCACCCCTCTCCAGTCCTCTTGCCTGGAAAACCCCAGGGACGGGGGAGCCTGATAGGCTGCAGTCCATGGGGTCTCAAAGAGTCGGACACGACTGAGCGATTTCACTTTCGCTTTCCCTTTCATGCATTGGAGAAGGAAATGGCAACCCACTCTGATAGTCTTGCCTGGAGAATCCCAGGGACGGGGGAGGTGGGCTGCTGTCTATGGGGTCGCACAGAGTCAGACACGACTGAAGCGACTTAGCAGCAGCCACAGAGTCGGACACGACTGAAGCGACTTAGCAGCAGCAGCAGCAGCTAAGAGCATCATCTGAAGGGACACAGCCACGTGGACCCCTCAAGGCTTCTCAGTATAGAGTTTCCTGTATGCAGAGCTGCTTTCTGCCTTCACTATAAAATCCAGTTTAGAATGTTTCAGTTTCCTTATGGTGCCAGGACTGACATGCAAACACACGAATTAATTGCTCTGATTTCTACTCTTGGTATCTTAGATTGTTCAGTTGTTTACCTGCCTCCCCTGTTTCCTAAATCATCATCATAAATAAAATTTGCCCGAAACATTTTAGCCACACACCTGTGCAAGCATACAAAATTGAATTTTTAAAATACATTGTCTAGTCTAAAATGCAACTGCATAAAAATTTGAAACATCCTTCAATTTTAATAGGAATCTGGGTTTCAAATAGCATATTTTTGACAGTTCTACTGTGTTCATAACATAGTTAGCTTTAGTGTACAACTAAATTCAAATAATAAAGGTTGGGTTTTTTTTTAACTTAAAGGACTCAAATTTTGACATTCTTAATCTGTACTGAGGGAAAATGTTATCAAAATTGAGCCAATTATAAGGAATAGTTTAAGTCCTCATCATTGAAGTGGTAAAAACCCAAATTTTTCTCCCAAAAGTGTTTGTTTTTCATTTTTTCAAAGATAGATAGTGCTAGAATTGACCATATAACTGGAAAAATGTAATGGGCAATGGGATGTAAAACTTACCAGTGAAATACTTAAAACTAAATGAAATTAAGCAAATTTTAACTAAATTTGTAGAGCAAAGTATACAATATGATAATGTACCTCGATTAGGGATGTAAACGCTGCATGGCTGTCATATCCCACTATATAAGGAGGGATGACACATATTGAAACAGGTAAGTCATTACTCACAGCAAACTTAAACTTGGTCATATGACAGTGATTTTGCCATTCAATCAAGCTGTATTCTTGAACAAATGTGGATTCTTCAAAATGAGTTTGAGGCAATTTTATGTAAAACACACAGATACAATTAAATCACGAAAGGCAAAGAGAAATACAAACACAAATAGAAAATCAAAAGTTTGAGGAAAATGAGAGAGTAAGCAAACGGCACAGACGGTAAACAGTCATGTGATTAAACATTGTTTTTTTTTTAAACATTGCTTTGCTTTGTGCTTGCAGAAGCGGGTGAGACAGTGAGATAGTTCATTCTTTTTAACTGGTGACATTATTTCCTCAGAAAAGTAATTATTTTCTAACAGTAATTTTTTTTTTTTTGGTTCTTTTAAAAATGCTGAATTCTTAATAGAATTTATCCTGTGGGTCCTTATACGGGAGACGTGGAACAATAATAAATAATATTCTTCACAAACATTTTATAGTACACAGATATGATTTTCCTACCATTGTTTCTTGTATTAAATTACAGTGAAGACTTAGGGCAAGACATGACTGCCAAAGGCAGTGGAAATAAATTGCCGAGGCAGGTGGGTGTGGGTGGAGGGCCAGTGGGAGTGGTCTCTGTAACGTCCGGAGACCGACCTATCAGAAGGATGACGCTTGACCACTGTGACGGAAGCAGGCATCTCACCCCCCTGGTGTGGCTTCCACTGGAGCCTGAGAATTGTCTCCTGGGAGGGACAGGTATCTCGGGGAGATGAGTGCCTAGGTCTTAGGTTCATTGTCATTATTCAGTTCAAAGACGGCTGCCGGGGTCCAGTCCCAGCAGGATCCAGGGAACCCTCAGGATGAACGGCGTCGGCGAATGAGAGAGAGAGTGAGACAAAGCTCTGGGCTAAGTCTGAAGTTTATTTTCGCACGGCTCCTTTATACCCTTAACAACATCTTTGGGGAAAGTGCATACTGCTTACACACAGGTCATCTCAAAACATTACAGCAACTTGACCTTCAACAGAAACTGGATGTCACCCACATACTTTTTCATTCACAAGAGTCTTTTTTATCATTTGGCCTTCAGGCCTGCTAACACTTTATGGCTTGCACCTGGTGTGACTTAAGCAACTTCAGTAGCCGACCCTGTTTTTCTTATAATTAATCTATTTTCTTTCTAATAAGCGTCATCTCTATGGGCACTAGATAGGATTACATTTTTACAGAACAGAAATGCGAAGGACTGCAGAAATAGCAGATATGGCACAAAACAGGCTCTTAGTCTAAAAGTTAACTACCTGCAAGAAGTCGCCAGCTAATCTCTATCTAAAGTATTTTCTATTAGGCACATTTGTGGCTATCATGTTTGTGGAGCTTTTTTCACCCCATGAAGGGGCCTATGCTTAATAGTTTCTTTTGTTAGCGTATTGTGCTTAGGATGTTTAGAACAATCAAGAGCATTTTTTGCAGTGAGAGCACATATTTATCACACAAGCCAGAATGCCAGCAAAAGGGTTTGAATTGAAGCATCTCCTTCATCCCTGGCCCCTTCATAGGGTACCAGCATCCAGGAGATTTATTAATTAGGATTTTAAGTTGGTCTTTATTCAGTAAAAGAGGAGCAGGAGAGCTCTCGGCAGGCAACACAAGAATCCGCAGCAGGACAAACAAGAACAACAGCAGAAATAAGGGGGGAGGATACAGGGTGGGGTAGAGGCCGAGGCCAACCTGGAGGGTCCCTTATCCTAGACAGCCTTGCCTGTCAGGTTTTTTCCTCATGACCTCGTCATGGATGGGGTCCCGGACGGCCTTGCCTGCCCAGTATTTTCTTCATGACCTCGTCACAGGCGGGACCCCCCATAACGGCTCCCAGCAGATGGGCTTATCCACATGCAGAAAAAGTTCAGCCATACCCTCTGGGATCTTTACTTTCTTCTTTATTTTCCTCATAGAGCTAGATTTGCTTTAAGTTTAACTTTTTTGATGGAAAGTTTCAACCAGACCCACCACCTAGCTTTAAGAAGTATGGATTTGGTTCATCTTGTTTCATCAAGAGTACATTTTTCAAATCCCAGCAGCACACTTTTCCTCCCAAGAACATGTATTTCCATTGTTAGAACCCATTGGTGACTAGACCAGGAGTTCCTTGAAAGCATTATCTATATAGTTCCTTGGAAAATATTCAGTTAAAAAGCAAAAAGGAGAAAAAAGAAAAGCCCATGTGGCAGGACAAAGGGCTCTGTTTCCAGTCTTCCTCAAGGAGCTCAACAGCTGAATCAGCTTCCCCAGAAGGGTCAGCCTCTCCAGATGCCTCCAGCTCACCTTCTTTTCAAAGGTCAATTTATACACGTGTAGTCTGTGTTCATTTATAACAGAAAAATGCATGATCCCGATGCCAAAACAGTTGTCTCCTTTGTTTAAGATGCCTTCCCTACTCGCAAAGATTCGGCTGTGACTCAAGGACTGAACAGCCACCTTACTTGGATCTCCTTTGCCTGAACTGAGCCAGTCACACTGACTTATGCTTGGATTACTTCTAGCAAAGCGCTACATTGCGCCTTGCAACAACCCTTAGGCCACGTCCAAACTCATATTTAAAAAATCATCAGCCAAAAACCTGCGGAGGTCAACGGTACCTCTTGGTACTGTCTTTGCCCATGTACTCTGAAAGGGAGATGAGTTTCCAGAATGAAGAGGATAAAGCGTGATTGGCATGATAACATTAATATTTTGTGCCCTGTGCTATAGTTTCCTCCCATCCTGCCCAAAGTCAGTGTGGAATTGCTAAAGGGCCCAGGTATTTCTTGTTTGGTTTGGATTTTTGAGGCTTAGGACCATACATCATTGGTGGAAGACAGTTCCTTTGACCTATTTCTCTGACTGTTTGGATCTTGACTTTTCTGGATCCTGGTAAACAGAGTAATGTGTTCCCATTGCTTGGCTTACCTGTCAGGAGTGGAGTCCAGCTCTGCTGATCCAGTCATGTACAACTGGGAAACAGGGGGAAACAGGCTGGGATTGTTTATTTGGAATTCTTCCAGAGTTTGTGCAGGACTTGAAAAGGAATCATCAGAATGCAGATACAATACATCTTTTCCACAAAGACGGCAATTGATCTAAGTTCCAATGTTGTCCTTTCTCAGCAAAAATAAATAAATAAATACGCTTTAAGTGCTTAAAATTTTCAAATTGCAGAATCATCCTTTTTTCCATCTTGTTTCTTCTTTTTGTCCTATATTATTTCATTCCTGTCTTTGTCTCCTGCTCACTAACCCACTGTTTATTTTTCCATCATGATTTTTCCATCTTCCCATAATACTATCTTTAGCATTCATTAGAGTGAAATGTGAGATATAGCTGATTACTGACCAGTAATATCAGTTAAAGTGTTAATTGCTCAGTCGTGTCCTACTCTTTTGCAAACCCATGTACTATACCTGCCAGGCTCCTGTGTCCATGGAATTCTCCAGGCAAGAATACTGGGGTGGATTGCCATTTCCTTCTCTAATTAAGGAAAATTTTAAATTACGTGCTATATTTCAGGTCCAAAATAACATACTAGAATTTCTTCAGTTTTGAAATTATCTCATGCTGAAGGAAGTTGTAAGTGTATTCATACACTTTTTCCTATTGAGCCCGTTTCTAGTATCTTGAGAAACTAGTGAAAAAGATTATCTATTTGCTTATGAAAATATTTTGTTACAAATCACATTGAAGAAAAACATTCTATGGCACACAATATTCTATCATTATTGAAAAAATAAAAATGAAAACCATAAAGAGAAAAAGGAAAAAAGTCTTTGTTTTTCTCCTAACGCTGCTTAGTTTAATTTAATGTTGAGTTTGAATTGAGATTATGAATAGTTTTTCCTGACAATGTTGTTATATTGTTTTTACAATCAAAATTTATTTGATGAAAGTGTCAGGTCAGCTCTCCAACTGACTGTATTTGTGTAGAGTACAGTCACAGAAAAATAGTCAATTTAATTAATTTTTTTTTAATTTAAGGGTCCAGGATTTATAGCTGCAATGTGGGGTGTCTTCATGTTTAAGGAAATACAGGTATGTACACAAAAGTGTAGATCCAGTCAAGAAATATATTTAATACTATGTGTTATTTTTGAAAACTGCAACACCAAAGCCCAGGGCAGAAAACGTGTGATTGAATTTTACAGGTCAGATATTCAGAGTGTTATCATCTCTAATTAGAAAAGAAAATACTAACTATATGATCATTATTATGGATATGTTTTTCTCCACCCCAACATTAGAGGAAAAATGCTTTAGTTCACTTTATTTTCCCTTAAGAGATTTTGGTTAAATCATCCAATAAAATAAGATAAACAGAAATTTTATCTAGTGAAAAATGTTAGATAGACAAGATGAAAATTTTTACCCCCAAAATTAAAACATCCTTGAGACAAATGGAATTTGAGAATAGATTTTTTGTTGTTGTTGAATCTCATCCCTTCCAAAGTCCTCCACATCCAACCAGCATCTTTATAGGGGAATACCCTCTCAAGTGTAAATGATGGTGACTTAAAATGCTTTTACGAAGTAGTTCTAGGATGTGTGTGTGTGTTTTCATTAAAAATTGTTTTTAAGATTTTTCCGCTTTACCTTTATTTGTGGAAAAAGCCTTCAGTTGAGGATATACAAATGATATTTGTAGTAGTTTTTACTGAAAACAATATAAATTAGAGACACTGTCAAGGCATTATGAATATATTTTTTGTCTTAACAAGAAGCAAATAATTCCTATCTCTAAGAAGATCTGATGTTGCTAATCTCTGGGAGCCATAAAGTGAACATGTCCCAGGAAAATTCTTAAAATGATTACTCAATTTTAGATTGTCATTTCATTCATTTCAAATGAAATGTGTTGACTTAGAAAGTCATACGATGTTAATACAAGTAAGATTTTCAGGTTAAAGAAGTAATAAATTTGTTTAGAAGATATTTGGATCACAATCTTGATTGCTGTGTTTTTAAATTTGCAAGACAGCTTAAAACATTTATTTAGTCTTTTGAATATGTTTTTTATTTTAGTTAGGATTGCTTTCCACAAAAAAATAATTTTATGCCAAAGCACACTGTAAATCTCTTCACAAATATTTCATCTGCTTCATGAAGGGTAATGATTCCTATTTAAGAACTGGGTATTATTCAGCATAACATGCTGAAGCCTTAGAAAAATCACAAGCCTATTTACAACTGTAGGTATAAATAAACATAAACTAAGAATAGATTTATTATGAAACATGTAAAAATTATTTTACAGTATAACAATACTGAATTAAAAATCTTCTTCCCTATATAGAAGAACTCACTTGAGCAAGAGATTACCTAAGTATTGGGCCTACTGTTAATTCTTGAGAGTCCTTGAAAGAGACACATAAAAGACAAAATGGCTTTTTAAGATACCTGGAAAAAAAAACTCAGGCCAAATAGAGGAGGGGCTTTTAAAAATGATAAAACATGACCAAGTAGGATTTAATTCAGGAATGCAGTGATGGATCATAATATGTATAATGTAGTTTATTGTACTGTTTTTAAATAGAAAAGAAACTGTGTAATAGTATATATTTTAAAAGTATTTACTAAAATTAAAAATCAGTTTTTAATTGAGAAAACAACCTTTAACAATAGGAGGAATAGGAAATAAGAGAAAGCTTTAGTTGATATAAGATGTCTATCAAAAACTATGTAAACACATAACTAAAGTGAAACATAAGCATTCTCTGTCAATTATATCTCAATAGAACTGAAAAAATATGAGTTCTCTATAAGTCAAAGATCTTTCCATCATTGCTGTTACTCAGCATTTTCTGGAAATCATAGCCAGTGGGCTAAGATAAAATTAAGACATAAGAGAAAAATAAGAAAAAATATTGTTTGCATATAATATTCCCTTCTTTAAGTTGAAAAGAATTGGCTGAAAATCTGGAGAACCAATAAGATCTCTTTGTAAGGCACTGAAATATAAATATTAAATTAGTAACTTTCCAGCATGCCACCAAGAACCAATTAAAAAGAGAAAAATAAATGCTATTAATACCAAGAAAAATGATAAAAATATAAGAAAATAGCAAGAAATATGCTGGATTTATGAAATAATTTCCTATACTGCAGAAGCTTACTACAGAACATCAAAGACTGTCATAACAAATGAGCAACTCACCATATCCCTGATAGAACAGCTCCCTGTTGTTACTGGGCAGCATCTCCATTCACCATCAGTGTAATTCCAATAAAATCCCAGAGTGCTCCATAGATGTGCAAGTGAGTGCTTGAGTTTGGCCAGGTATGTATGCAAATAAAGAGAGGGAAGGCAAAGCTGAAAGCACAGCAAATTTTGTTGACTTTTTGGGCTTCCCTGATAGCTCAGTCGTAAAGAATCTGCCTGCCAAGCAAGAGACCTGGGTTCAATCTCTGGGTTGGGAAGATCCCCTGGAGAAGGAAATGGCAACCCACTCCAGCATTCTTACCTGGGAAATCCCATGGACAGAGGAGCCTCGGGCTACAGCTGAAAGCTCAAGGAGTTTTGTTGACCTTTTAACTCTAGTTAAAACACCTTACAAATCTGTCTACAAGCAGAACTTAAGGAGTGTCCAGTGTACTTATCATTCAAAGCAGATGCCTGACTGCCTTTTGACAGATGACTTAAAGGGCCATTTTAAATGCTTTATATGCCAATGAGTTTAAGAGTTTAACTAGACACTGAAACCAAAATCCTATTTGAATATTTTTAATTATTTTTCTTAAAAACAAAACCCTAAAGGAAAACCAAAGCAATTTTTTAAAAAAGTTTTCATTAGTTAGGGTATAGTTTATTTACCATGTTCTATTAGTGTCTGCTGTACAACAAAATAAATCAGTTATACATCTATATACATTGACCCTGTTTTAGATTCTTTTCCCATATAGGTCATTACATATTGAGTGGAGTTCCCTATGCTGTACAGTAGGTCCTTATTAGCAAAAAGTTTTATCTTTGTGACTTGTAGGTCCTGTCAGCTGTGTCTTGAAGCAGTCCTCGAAGACACATATTTAAAAGTCCACAACCTACAGCAGTGAGGACTTAATTGGAGATCCGAGCACCGTGTGGAAGAGTTTAAAGATTTTATTTCATTTCAGTGCCATTAGTGCTCTGGTTGGACACTTTGCCCTTGTGACATTCTTTTCTATCTGATATCTGTTCCTCTTTGGAAAGTTTGTTTTAGAATCTCATATTTAGCTATTTTAAGCTAGACCGCCAGTATATTTTTAGCAACACACTTCAGTCAGAATGTCCACAGTAATCCCAATGCAGGGAATTGTTACCACAATTTACAAGTCAATAGCGACTCCCAGATAAAGAATGAGATGATCTGTCATTTTAGCACCTGTCTCAGAAATCCACTTTAAACACTTTTTGCTTTTGGGAGAATGTTAGCATGCTCTTTCTAAGAGTTAGCATTCACCTTTGACAAAGTAAAACTATTGCTTTTGCCCAAATATAATTGGTCTTTTTCTCTAGGAGACTAGGCAGTTTGCTCAGATTGTTAACCTTAAAAGGGAAAAAAATTTTAGTCCCTGAGAACATTGTTCTTCTGTCTCCAAAGACAATAAAACAGAGAACTTACAACATATTCACATAATTTGGTTGTAAAGTGCTGATAATTGAGACCCCATATATTGTTTTTCCTTATGTCAACGATCTTATTAGTTGTTTAATTCACACAACACATTTGGAAATTGAGTGTATTGACTCTGAACAAATATTTATTGAGTGCCTACTCTGCACCAGTACTGGTAAATAGGGAAAGGCTGCAGCCTTTAAGAAAAAGTTGTCAGGGAACCTTAAAGCCTTCAGGAGTGTGTGTGTGTGTGTGTGTCTCTGTCTGTGTGTGTTGTATGTGGGTGTGAGTAAATTAGCTGCCCTGTCTTGGTAAGGTTTTATGCTGTCTTTCACTTGTAGAACTTATACCAGTGACTTCTGTAGAGTTTGTGCTGTCAGTGAATCAGACAATTCAGCCAGCCAAATCCAACTTAAAAAGACCTCTCTGGTCATCAGATAGATGCAGAATCACCTGCTCTAATGCAATTCTTTATTCAGATGAAAAATGGGGATATACATTTTTGACATTTTGATTATATATTAATTGTCATTAATTTTACTAAAAGCTGATAATAGTGTCATATGATTTGACTACCAGTAGATCTCAGTGTAATTGAGATCCTGTTCCACTTGCCTCAGAGTATTGGGTCTACATTTAAACAGTTATATAGACTGTTTAGCCTTGCAGTCATTCAGAGTAGAACAGCCAGGGCTATGTGGGAGCTTGAAGTTATCCCTATGAAAGATGGTCAGAGGAGCTAAAATATTGACCAAAGAAAAAGATGCTTCAGGGATACAGCACACTTATTTTCCAGTGTTTGAGGGTTTATCTTGTGGGAGAGAGATTAGAATCGATCTATCTGTACTCTCAGAGATGGAACTTATGAGAAATACAGTATTTCTACTGAACACAGAGTGGTATGTTTGTTCATATAAAGATTGGCTGGCATCCTCCGTGGTTCCATCTTCAAGACCAGTGCACCCACTTGTAGCTGGGGGAGTAATCTTTGTTTCTATTTCTCCCTTGCCCTTTAGATTGGTCTCTGTCTTTCCATCTGCACTTCATCCTCTCTTCCCGGGCTGCGGTCACCTCCTCACTGCTCCCCTTCCGTCCATTCTGGCCCCCTCCAATCTGTTCATCATCTGCAAAAGTGTGGGCTTTACAAAATGCAAGCCTGTCTTTTCAGCATACTTGGCTCTGCCTGTTCCTCTCATGTCTTCCCATTACTTGAAAAGTAAATCCAAAGTATAACATGGCCTCTAAGATACCGCCTGCTCAGGCACATTCATAGCCTCCAGCCTCATCGAGCCACACTTAATTCACTGCTCCACCCTCTCAGACCTTCTTTCAATCCCTGGCAAGTACCATGTTTCTCTTACAACAGAGCTTTGCACACACATTCCTTCTACTCAAAATCTGTATCTGCTGCCCTCCTCTTCCCCCAATTCACTGATACTCAGGAGCTCAACTCAACTCTAAATCTGCCTCCTTAAGATTTCTTTGTGACGCACTCACAACAGCCACCGCTGTTTGCATGTTACTCATTCCCACCTCCCACATTACATGAGTCCCTGAGTAGGGGCACATTTTCCTTACCATTTTAATCCCCGAACATGCAGATGGAGAGTAGGAGTGCACATGTATTTATTGAATGGGTAATGACAGAGGACCTGAGAATCTGGAAGATTCATACAGAGGGAGAATAGAAACGCATACAGGAGGTAGACCAGATGGTTAGTAAGGTCCACAGAAATCTTGAGAGTTTGTGCTTTTTACATATTTGATTCAGGTCTTCCTAACGACAGTTATTCTTTTTATTACTCAGGGTCGAAAAAACTACCTGCTGATGATGCTTGCATTTTGCATCATCTTGACTGGAGCCTTATGCACAGCTTTTTCTAAAATTTGACAACCACAAGGCCAGCAGATGGCAGCAGCACTTGAGAACACTTCTCTCCTGGACACAAGAGATTGTGCTGAGAACAGAGCTCATGTTCACACACCAAGTGGATCTTCATCTGTCCTGGACTGGGTAAATGATTTTCTTTCCCACAAATGTGACACTGAAGGAAAACCAGCTTTCAGTCAAGCGTAAAAATGAGAAGTTCTTCTAATGAACTGTTTATGAAGGTAGGATTGACTCCATTGTATCTGAAGATGCTGCTTTGACCACAATATGTGTTTACTGGTGCATAATCTAGCAAACAGTGTGGCATTCATATGTAGAGAATTTTGTATGTGTCCACATTTCCAAAATATGAGCCTCATTCATGAAGATAGGCATAAAAACGTGGGGGGATGAAGCAGGAAGAAGACTTATATTATGATGGAATTAGGATCCAAAGATATCTGGAGCCTTTGTGAGCAAAAGTAAATGTCAGAGTCGGCAAGTGAATGTTAAAAAGGCCATTTCATTATTTTCAGCCCAGACTTATTTTTACTTCAAATTAATGTTGCCGGATTCTCAATCACCCACCCAGTTAGCTCAAAACACCTTTGATATCGCCAGATAAAATCCATCCTTGGAGAACAAAAACTTCCCACTGTTGAGAATATGTGTGTAACACATATACATATGTTTACAAGTATACACCCGTAAATACACATGCATATATTGAATGTTCTACTATAAATTGAGTGTAAAATCTAGAATTGCTGAAGCAAGATTCTAGCTTATCACACTCCCATGAATACACACACATATATGTATGTACTGCTCTAACTTGTGGAGAAATTCTAGAATTGCTGAAGCAGGGTTCTAGCTTATCACAGTGAGAATTTTAAGGAACCGATACACTCCATTAGATGTACAATTTAATTTTTTTTCTGAAATATATTTTTTCTAAAAACCCGTCTTGTAACCAGTGGTTTTCTTCAATTTTTAAATGATGGTTTACACTAGGTCAAAGAAAATCACAGAACATGATAGTTGTCTTTAAGAAAACTGAAATGGAACTGCTATTACAATGTTTATTACAGTGGTTCCCAAACTCTTAAAATAATAGCATAAAAAAAACTGGAATAGTGCAGTGTAAGTTTCACCCACTCCCACTTGATGATATCACGTTACTTTGCTACTTGAAGGGACAAAATATGTGTGACTCCCTAGCTGATCTGTGTGGGTTTAAATCCCACCTCTGCTTCATCTTAATTGTGTGACTTTGGATAAATGTTCTGAATCAGATTCTTCATCTGTAAACTGGGGCTATTGCTAGCATCCGTCTCACATGGTTACCAGGAAGTTCAAATTAGTGAAAATCTATATTTTCATGATTGTCTGGCACTTGGCAAACAGTGTATAATTCTCAGCTGTTATTATTACATCTTATTTGAGGGAAAAAGCCTGTGTCTGTAGGTTGGAGAATACATTGTAAGAATTGCTTCCCTTACCACTCCCCCACGACGCAAACAACTACTTATACCTGTCTGTGAGTACAATTTAGAAATGACACTGCCTAATTGTTGAATTGCAAATATAAATAAATATTTGATTAACATCTTCCAAAATTTCATTTAATTTTAACCTGAAATGTCACTAACTATACTGATAACTTTGAGTAAATTGATATGAAGCAAAACTATTTTTCTCATTGAAATATATTTAAAATTTTTTTATATTAATGGCATTGAATTATTTTTTAGTTGAGATTGCAAATTTGTATGCAAAATGTTAAATGTGAAGTAAAGCAGTTGCAGAGGAAAAATGAAAGAAAAAAAAAAAATCTCATTACCACTGTATAGCTTCTGCGACCAGGCAGTGCCTATAGCGTTAGTGAGAGTTAGTAAAAGTTAAAGAAGCTTTTTCAAAATGCTTACCAAACCAGCACCTTTTTAGGTAGAGACTGGTCTAAATGGGCAATTGTAGATCTCCAGTTTCTTTGCTTACCTTAGAAAGTTAATGCCCATGTCTTTTGAAGTTTGGGGCTTAGTATGGTCAGATTCTTGTGTTTGCATTAACTTTGTCTTTGCTTTCTGTCTCTTTGTGCAGAGAGGCAGCACTTATTCCCAGTGAGACTGGCATCCAGAATAAGAATTTTCTACTATCACAACAAAAATGCCTGATTACTAAAAATCTCTAACAAGTGTTCAAGAATGAATAATACAGCATTTCCTCTAAGCTACCAAATCTTCTTTTAGCCCCGTTATACTGATTTATTTGTACTGATAGAGTTGCTACCTCTTAGCCTTGTGTATATCAATATTGGGAGAGCTTCTGAAAAACACACTCAGTAAAAAGATGAGTTGTAGAACCATGTACATGGTATTGTGATACCATTTTTTAAAAATTATAAAAATCAAAGTAATATGTACATTTTCTATAAATTCATATGTATGCAACATGTTAGAAAAACATGTACACCAAACTCATAAGGTTTGCTTCTAGTGAGGATAAATAAGATCAAAATGGCAACACGGGGTCAAGGTAAACTTAAGCATTACCTGTAGTCCTCTACTTTTTATGGTGATGAATTTTCTATGTGTTCATTAATATGTGTTAAAGAATCAACAGCAAAATAGTTCAGAAGCATATGTCTAAATGTTGAAGTAATTAAAACGAGGCAAAGAGCGTGTTGAAGGAATGTTATTTTCCTCTTTATCCTTTTTGGTACTGGTTAAAATTTCAAAACAAGAATACATACACACAGGTACACACAAATAAAAGCAGCAAAAATCAAGACAGTTGGGAAAATTTCCATCTTGGGAATCCCACCTCCTAAAGGTGGATGCCAGAAACTCACTTTCATGGTCTCCCTGAAGTAGGATCTAAGCCTAATTCCATGGTCCTGCTTGAGATCTTGTGAGCTACCTAACATAGTTGTTTCAGAAATTTGGCCTCATTAAAAAAGCACACACACACACAAATATCTTACAGTCTATTTATTAACTTTAATGAGGTATAATTTACATCCAATAAAATTCTCCCATTTTAAGTGACCAGTGCTATATGAGCTTTAGCAAATAGACACTCATATAAGCACCACTGCACTACACACAGAACATTGCCAGCAACCCCAAAAGTTCCCTTCTGCCTCTTTGGAGCAGAGTGATTCTTATCACACCTAGCCTTATGCTCCAGGCCACGAATAATCTGTTTTCTGTCATTCTGGATTACTTTTTGCCTATTCTAAAATTTCATATAAATGGAATCATATATAATGTACCCTTCGAATCTGATTTCTTTCATGTTCTAGCCATTTTCGAACAATTTTTCTTGATCTCAATTATAATTTATTCTCATTTATTTTCCCTAGTGAAAGAAAGCATATGTGTGTATTCAAAATAACAACAAAAGCAAAAATGACTAACATTTGGAATTATTATATTTAAGTGTGTGATGTATCCTGCTCCATAAATTCACTGTTTTAAATTAATAGTGTAATTAAAAAGAGTTCTTAGCTACTCTTTGAGTCCATCCCCATTCTTTAATATTCTCTTTTGAGGAGCTGCAAAATATTAAGCTGCTTAAACCAGATCACCTCCATTTTATGCATGTTGAAAAAAAAATGCATACTCTTGGGTTTCCTACAACAGCCTAATGGATTACTATCTCTGGGTCTGGAAAGTATGAATTTGCACTTTTTACAAGTGCTCTTGGTGATTCTTATCACACCTGAACACTAAATTATTTTGAATCTGTTGACTTATACCTTGATATTTAAAGGATTTCAAAGTACTAAGTTCTTACAAAATAAATAATATTGTCTTCTACCTTGAGAGGAAGAGAGAAAAGTTATTTTTAAAAAACAGGTATTCATTTAATTTTATGAAGGTTTGGGGGAGAAAAAAATGAAATGCTTAAAACCATTACATTTACGTGGTATTTTTAGGAAAAAATAACAATAATAATAACTAGGCATTGTATTATTATTTTTGGTTCAAACACTTAATTTCCATATATTGAATCATCTTCAGTTAGTGGCCACATCTATTTTTACTTCAGATTTTGCAAACTGACTCTTTAATAATAAAATCTCTAACACAATTCATATTGACAAGATCTCACGAAAACAAACAAAAATCCCAACTTCCATATGGATATTTTGCAGCAAGATCCAGTGAAACAAATCACTGGAAATGAACTGGAGAGGAAGGTGAGAATTGTTTTTTGTGTGGAGACAGCAGGCTGCAAGCCTGACCCCAACTTACTACTTATTACACGTATAAGTCACAAATAGAGCATTCCACATGGTTTTCTGGAGAACCTCATAGAGTCTTCCAAGACACTGGCTATTTTTTCTTTTTTATGTGCCTTTCTTCTTTAAAAAAATTTTATTGGAGTATAGTTGATTTATAACATTGTGTTAGTTTCAGGTGTATGGCAAAGTGAATCAGTCACATATTCATTCTTTTTTGCTTCTTTTCCCATACAGGTCATTACAGAGTATTGAATAGAGTTGCCTGTGCTATACAATAGGTTCTTATTAATTATCTAGTTTATGTACAATAGTATGTATCTGTCAAGTTTATCCCTTCCCCACCTCTGATAACCATAACCATAGTTTGTTTTCTATGTCTGTGAGTCTGTTTTTGTTTTGTAAATAAGTTCATTTGTATCATTTTTTAGATTACACATATAAGTGACATTATATATTTGTTTTTCTGTGTCTGACTTACTTCACTTAATTTTTTTTTAATTTTTAACTACATTTCATTATTATTTTTTTTTAGTGTGCAAGTCTTTTTTTTTTTCATTTATTTTTATTAGTTGGAGGCTAATTACTTTACAATATTGTAGTGGTTTTTGTCATACATTGACATGAATCAGCCATGGATTTACATGTATTCCCCATCCCGATCCCCCCTCCCACCTCCCTCTCTACCCGATCCCTCTGGGTCTTCCCAGTGCACCAGGCCCGAGCACTTGTCTCATGCACCCAACCTGGGCTAGTACTTCACTTAATTTGATAA